CCGCGCAGGTGGCCTGGGGCGCGGGGACCTCCGGAGCGGGCGGAACGTGCGTCTCGCTGGGCGAAAACAGGGCTTAAAAGCGCCAAGCGTGCTCCCCACGGAAAGTTTATTTATTTATTTATTTATTTTTGTCCTTTTTTCCCCCCTCAATCCGTCGGTGCTTTTGGAAGTTTCCCTGCAGTTATTGCGGTTGCGAGTGAAAAGCAGCGCGGTCCCCAAGCGGTGCCCGTGGCGCGCGAGGCGGGTGTTGAAACGCTTCACTTGCACCGGGTGCCAGGTCTGTAGGTGCTCCCACCTGGGAGGATGTTTAACCCATTACACTAGCGTAAAAATACTCGGTTCTGGTTTTATGTGGAAACGCTCTTTGTACCTCACCCCTTTTTTCTCTGTAGATACCTGCTTACTTAATTTATTACACGTTTACTCCCTCGTGCGCGGCGCCTCGCGGCCGGTTTGGCCGCACTGCAGGTAGCCGGTTTTGTGACCAGGGATCGCGGTGCTCCCATGGGACGGTCACTTGGCGCTTCATCTCCGTCCCCCCGGTGCCCTCCTCTTGCCAAGTCACGGCTGGGGACACCCCGCGGACCCACGAGGGCCGTGGCGTCCACAGACACTTCCCACAGCAAACGGGTGCCCGCGTGGAGCGTTTCCACGCAGACCCGCTCTACGTGGGAACCGTCAGCCTTGGCGTTGCGGGCGCAGAGCGGTGGCGTGACCGTCTAGTTTTACAGCCATACGGCGTCTTGGAAGCTCGCCCGCTTTGTTTTGAGGACGGAGAAGCGGCGCCGAGACCAGCGTCTTCCTCCCGATACGCGAGACCCGCGTGCGCTCGTCTGCTGCGGCGCTAGGAGCGATGTCACCCTGCGATACGATGGCGAAAGGTGTCGCTTCGAAGCACGTTCCAGCAGTTGGTGTCGTTATAGTGGTGGGATAGATAGTATAGTATATATGGTGGTGGAATAATCACAGTTTGCAGAGGAACTCCGTCTCCTGGAGTGGCTTTGGAAAGGATAAGTATGTTTGTGGTCAGGATGTTAAGCATAGCTGTATATTTGGCTGTCATGTTACTTCCATAAATTACCATGCAATTTATCTTATCTTAAATCAAATTAACACCTTTGGTAAATACCATGCAAAGAAGTTTTCTTTGCTACTTAGTTGGTGAAAAGACTTGTTGTTCAAAGAACATTTGTGAAACTACCACACAATTTATTCTGTCTAAAGAAAGAGATGATTATGAGTGAAAATGCAGCAGAGGCTTTCAGAATAGCATCTCCAAATGTAATTATTCATCTTTTTTGTTTATTATTGCACATGTAGTCTTCTGTCATCTTGGAAGGTGATTTAACCTGAATTAAATTGAGATTTAATAATTTGCTCCTAAGGGCATAGGAAAAATGTATCTTAGTTGAGAAGTTCATGAAGTAGTAAAGATAACTCTGTAGTCTTAGAAACCAAACAAATAATTTTTCAAGTGCCAGAAGAGTTGCCTTATGGTTATGACAAGGAAGAAGAGGGTGGCCACCTTTGAATCTTGATAAATTCAATTTCCCTCTATAAATGTGTTTGGCAACATTGGTATTGCTAAGAATATCCGGAGCAAGTTTTTAGGAGGAAGAGCAGTCCAACGAAAGCACTCTGCAGCCTGCCTTTCTCAAGCAGCTCGTTGTTCCTTTATTAGCTTGGTTCATCACGTGTAGGCAGGAAGGGAAAGCAAATTAAAGTCAAAATTATTTGGAGAAGATTCCTCCTGCATGGCCTTACACCTTGGTCAGTATTTGCTGGTGGGTTTAATACTGCTCCAAACAATCCTCTCACTAAGTTAGGGGGAGCGTGGAGTGTTTTTTTTTTTTTTGTCAAATTTGTAGTAAACATTTTTGTCACTGCCTTTAATGACTACTATTCTTGAAGGCAAAGTCTCTGATTACTGTCCTGTTTGCAGCTGAATTGCTTTTGTACTGCCATATTGCAAGTAAGTGTTCCAAACTTGCCACTTAATTCCCCTATTCATCCTCATTGAGTTCCTCCAGGTAGTGCCTAGACTGTGCTCGACTCTGGCTGCCAAGAGCTCACCTCATAGTTTGGAATTTTTTACCTTAATACCGTATTTGTGCAGACACAAACCCACGTTATCGAACATGTGGTTCAGCACGCTGACGTAGCTGTTGCTGTGATCTCTGTGAATCCTGAGATAAAGCACCATCGATAGCTGCACAGCTGTAATTTTTATTACTTTTTAGATTGCCAAGAATATAAAATTATGCGAACATCGATTTGTTCCTGATCTGACTGAGAACCCCATTAGCTGTGTCAGCATTGGTAGTAAAACTGCTTACGAGACCAGCTCCTGCCTAAACTAATTCGGTGTTTTCCCTTCCTCCCCCGGCCTATTTTTTTTTTCTATCATTGTGTCCATATAAAAGCTATATTAAAAACTAGTTCACTTCCCTCTTTTAATAAGGCACTCTTTCTTCTCTCAGCCTGGCCTTCCTTCTCAAAAGCCATGAAAGAGATGCAATCAGGTGTGCGCTGAGAATATAGGATGCCAAGGGATTTATTTTGCATGTATGTCAGATGCTGAGGCAGTTATCGTAGCACTGGCTACTGCTTTAAGCCTCTGCGTTCAGGATGAGTAGAAGTTTGGTTATCTTTTTTTTTTTAACTAATCAGCACTGAGAAAACTCTCCTGCCTTCGCTCCTAAAATGAATGACCAACACGAGCAGTTCATTTCTTGGTTCCTCTCTATGCTTTTTGCAGTTAAGGAGCCAGTGATGCAAACGTTGCACGTGCTTCACGTAAGGCCAGTTAGTTATTTTAATGCTCTGTCATTCTTCTTTGGCACAACAGAATCTGAAGTCAAAGCATGCAGATGTTGGCGAGGAACCGGTACAGTCCACTCTCGGATTTATTTTGTGCCTTGCAACCTGCTGTTGCTCTCCGTGTGGTTTTCTTTTCCCCCAGTGTCTGCTGTTCCTGATCAAAAGACAGATCGCCACTTAGAGTGATGCTATCTCTGTTTGTCTCGGTTCTCTCTGGATTAACTGGCACAGTTTTTCCTTGTTCCTTTTTGATGAAAAGACTTTTATGAACTCTGCTGTTTTAACGAAATCTCTGCCTTCCACATTGTGTCAGACACTTAAGTGGAAGGGGTCTTTTTGTTTCAGTTTGTCTCCTGCCACCCTGACCAAACACAAACAGCTTCCTAGCTGGATAGGAGGAGTGCTTACATCTTAGGATGGACACGCTTTCTGATTTTTAGTGCTTTCCTTTTGCCTTGTGTTCTTGCTTTCTCTTGTTGTTTCTCTCTTTTTCATATATTTAGTTTGCATACACTCAGGTATGCTCGGTATTAGTGTGTTGACGGAGGAATACTTCATCTCCAGGCCCTGGAAGAGCAGAGGAATATGTCTTGCATTCCTTATCCAGGATAAGTCTATTGAGAAACTCTTGTTCTTCTGTCTCAAAACTTGAGCTGGCATGGAGAGAGGTCCCAATCCTTGCCTGAATTTTTGCTTGTTAGCCATAAATACTAAGGAGCAAGGGAGGCTTCCTTGGCAGTTGATGCCTCGCTGGTGGAAAGCTGAGGACCTCTTGTCTCTGCCAGCATGACCTGGCAAGTTTAAACTTGTACCAGTCCTTGTGTTTTGGTATGTTGACCTCTTGTTGGTAGTATCTACTGCTTATAAACCACACTTCTTGCTCTCCAGCACATTTTCTGTGGGATTTCCTCAGTAACAGGTTATTTTAGACTGTGTTGATGTTCTCCTGCTTTACTACCGTTCCTCACCACAGACTTTCTGTACATCTAACCTGAACTGCATGTGTGGTCATGGACTCAATGCTTTTATGGTCTAAAACATTGTAATTTAACGGTACCCCTTTACTGCATTAGTAGACGCAAACTTTTTTTTTTCTTCCTGAGACATCTTCCTCTTTCCTGCTCTGCCTGCACAAATGAGAGTGGAAACCCGTCAAGTTGTGATGTAAGCTGTCTTGACCAGCCAAATATTTTACTGGGTTCGACTAGTTAAAAAAAAAAGGGGGAAAAAGAAAAGAGATTTCAATAATTTGTGTTTTGTGAAGTTTAGGCCTTCAGCTACTTACTAGGAGCCAAGTTACAGACCAGGCTCATACAGTGTTTATGTTGGAAACGCCACTGGGGCTTACGATAGAAATCTTGCCAGGCACCATTATAATGGTTTAACATTTTTGTTGCCAGAATAACATAATTCAGTATTTACATCTAGAGAGCAAGAAATACTTAGTTTTAGGCTGCTGTGGGATTTATATACAATAGATTGTGCCAGGTGATGATTAAGTAATTCTTGCATCTATTTTTGCTTGCAGTCCTAGATCCTTGGTGTGACAAGCTAATTTTATTAGAAATGATATGTTGAGCTTTCTTGATTTGGTAGCTAGGGTGATCATGTCTGCTAATGCCTGCCCCTTTCTGTGTGTTGCTAAAAAGGGGGTAACAAAATACAAGAACAATCTTCTCGAGGGAACGCGTTGTTGCCCTTCAAGAGATGCTAATTTCAAACAGATAATGCACAGTGAAAACTCATGTTGATAGCTTGTCTTGTGTAGAAAAACTATGACTGGCCAAGAACTGAAATATTTTCAAGATTACTCTGTTTCTTAGAGTAGTAAATAACACATTTTACATTTTCTGAAGTCTGTCTAGGCTATGTTCACAAGTGCTTTCTCTTAAACTTTAGATTTACAATTTGTTTTTGCGTTTTCTGTGCTCCTAATGAAGTATGAGCTGACTACTCTCTAGCTGAGATTTTAGTTTTTACTAACGATTAGGTTAGATTTTGAAGTTTATTTTGAATAACTTTGAAGATTTAAGGGCTGTGTAATAACTAAGCATTGTTAGTTACATTTCTGTCCCAGGATGTTTAGCTAGGGCTTCTGGCACGGCCCGTGTGTTTATGTGACCGCTGCTGCCCTGCACGAGCTCCCTGCGCTGTGTTTCTCCTCCTGTCCGTGTCGCGGGGTCCCGCGGGAGCCGGTTTTCCTCGGCACGGGCACCGGCGCGCCGGGAGCCGCTGCTCCGGAGCCCGCCACGGAGCGCTCCTCGGAGTGCAGTTATCGAGAGCCGAGATACACGTCGCCGTAAACAGCACTTGTGTTGGAAACTGTGTTACCGCGATAACGCTGCCAGAGAGCGTCGGGACGGTTTACGGTTTGGGTGGCCAGAATATGATTGTGCAGGACGACGGTGAGTGTACGATGCTCGTGGCAACTTCTGCGGGTCAGGGGATAGGGCAGTTTTGCTTAGGCTTGGTACGATTCACTAGAATCATTTATTCTTCTAATTGCCAGGGACATTCAAAATCGCAGTCCTGTGCCACGTGCTCTGGGTAACCCTGCTTGTGCAACCTCTGTGATTAATGCAAGGAAAAGATCCTTCACAGAATCACAGAAGGGTCGAGTCTGGAAGGGGCCTCTGGAGATCACTGAGTCCAACCGCCTGCTCAGGCAGGCTCACCTAGAGCACGTGGCACAGGATTGAATCCAGGCGGTTTTCGAATATCTCCAAGGAAGGAGACTCCACAACCCCTCTGGGCAACGTGTTCTAGTTCTGTCACCCTCAGAGTAAATAAGCTTTTCCTCATGTTCGGACAGAACTTCCTGTCTTTCTGTTTGTGCCCATTGCCTCCTATCCTGTCTCTGGGCACCACGGAAAAGAGTCTGGCCCCATCTCCTTGACACCCACCCTTTAGATGTTTGTACACATTGGTAAGGTCCCCTCTCAGTCTTCTCCAGGCTAAACAGGCCCAGCTCACCCAGGCTCTCCTCACAGGAGAGATGCTTCAGTCCCCTCCTCATCTTTGTAGCTCCATGCTGGCCTCTCACCACTAGCTCCACGTCCTGCTGGTGCTGGGAAGCCCAGAACTGGACACCTCATCCATATCCCCCATGGGTTATTTTCCTTCTGAATTAAATTTTCAAACAATCATTAAGAAATCATCTGGAATCATCTGGTTCCCAGAACATTTTTTAAGACAGTGTTAAGGGCCATTTGAAATAATACCTCCTTTTATTTAATTGCCATATAAAACTTTTAAGGCTATTCTTTTAAAATAATGTATGAAATAGAAAAAAGTGGGACAGTAATAACTCCAATGGGAGGAACTTCAGGGTCACAACATAGTGACCTCTCCAAAGCTTGGGAGAAAGCCCCTCGTTTCAACCATCTCTTGTGATGTTGAATGAACCGCTATCATAATTCTCATTAGAGAAATGCCCATGGTGAAAGCACCTACCTGGCTTGGAGCATTCAGAAACCACACTCTGAACAGAAGATGGCCGGTCGCCTGAGAAGCACAGCCATATATTATTAACGTAGTGTTTGACAGCTGTTAGCTAGTGAAACTAGAGATTGGTGTTCACTTGACTAAAAGGTGTACACCTGATACCAGCCAGATAGGACCCAATTAACCTCTAAGTGGCTTGTGTTAAATTAGCAAACCTGCAGGAAGACTGGACTACTGGAAATTATCTGCAGTGACAGATAAAGTTTGTTCATTAGTCTGTGTTTTGTTTTCCTGTTTGCTTTACTGTTTTGTTTTACCCAAGCAAGAACTAAATATGTCCAAATTACTACTGACTGCCTCTTCTGGAGGCTGATTAGTGTTTATCTCTTCACTCCTGCAGTTGAGTGCTAATAGTCCATGTTTTTTGTGTTGTGCACGTGCATACGTTTTGCTGTGGGGAGCTGGGACACAGCTTTTTACTTTCCTTCCCTCTGTGTTCACTCCTCCCTGACCTGTCCCCTTGCCCTCCTCTTTCCCCATTAACTACTCTGAGCAAATGAAGTCAAGGGGGTTCGTCACTGACCACCTGCTGTTGACAGAGGATACTTCCCGAGGGGGTATTCTGGGCAGAACTCATCGCTAGTAGAAAGAATACCCATTAGTAAGGGAGCAAAAATCCATTAAAATGAATTTGAGCCATTAGAGGCAAGTAGGGTAACTGTTGCGTTTGGTCATGGCCTTGTCTGCCCTCAGTAGACTGCATGATGAGGTGTTGCTGATATCCCTAGTCTGGGTAATGTTTTAACTATGCCAGCGGCCCTTCTGGGAAATTGTATGATTTTTTTCCCGCGTAATGAACTGTGGGGTAATTCATCTTCATCAAAAGATAGCCAGCAAGACACCCTGTTGTGCCTGTGTGCCTTCATATACTGAAAAATAAATTTATCAAATTCAGTAAGCTCATTCTTCATATGAGATATAACACGGCTACAAGATTATAACAAACACTTTTATAAACAAATATTTGATAGTGTTTCCATGGTGACATTTTCTGTTTATTGGGAAAGTTTTGGTACAAAAATGAAGCTGAATTTGTACACCTATTAAGTCTGGTGAATTATTTTGTCTCATGTTGCTTGTACTTGTGTCTTTCAGGAAATCCATGAGTTATTTAAAGATTATGAAATAAAGTATTGTTATGTGGACAGAAATAAAAGAACAGGTAAGAACTTAAAATCTTCCAGTGTCATATATTTCAATGCTGTAAGGAAATTACACGTATAAAGTCAGCAGCTTATCTGCTAGCACATCCCCCCATTACCTGTGAGTTTTTTGGCTGTAGAGTTTATCAGCTTCTACCAAAGTCAGGGGAAAACTGGAGAGCTTCTTAAAAGTTAGTGAGAAGCTGATTGCCCCACTGTGGTGTATTTTGGGTGTTCCCCTTAATCAAGGTCCCTTTGGGACACAGTGAACCTAAAATTTCTAATATCCAGTGAAAATCTTGGGGCTTATTTTAGGACAAGTCTTGACATGTGTGTATGACTTGAGCAGAGGAGAACATCTAGCACCAGATGCATTTGTGTCAGGTAGTATAACCTAGAGGTGCTTTCTTTTAGCCATACTTAAATCTTTGAAGGAAGCACTTTCTTGAATTAAAGCAAATTATTTTGCTGCCATTTAAAAGGTTTTTTTTTTTTTCATTTTGGAATTAATTTTCTAAATAGGAGTTTCACAGATTTCTACTGCCTTTGAGATGTAGAGCTGGGCAAATGTTTCCCTGCGCATCCTTGTCCTTCCAAGTTACCCTAGGTACCATGCACCGCAGCCTGTCCTCTCATGAGGTGACCTGGTGTTGTAAGGCCAAGTCTCAGTGCACTGTCAGTGTCAGATCTCAGGCAGGATTTTGCCCATACAATGGTGTTTCTGGCCCTTGGGAGCAAAAGTTTGTGCTTCAGGGTACAGTTACCTTGCAAATTTGATTTTTGAATTGCCATAAGGCAGGTTTGTGGGGGAGGCACTGTAATTTGCTAGCTATCAACAGTCATACATATCTGTTGGGCATGCTTGGAAAATACAGCTAGTTGCAGCTGCTGGGAAAGTGTAAGGTGAATTCTACCATTTAGTCCAGATCCTCTCATATATAACTGTTTTTTACTACATGCATATTTGTGTTGGTTTGAGAGTGTGTATGTGTATGTATGTCTATATATGCGTATATAAAATAGCTTGCATATTCTTTTTTTAATGTTTTACTGTGTGCCTCTTCAAATTCTGGTGGCTGAAGTACATTTCTTCTGCTTTTTCCTTCTCCTTTTGATAGAATAAATTATGTTATTTCAGGATTTAGGAGATTGAAAGCAGCTTAATGTAACAGAATCTTAACATGTGGCTATGCAATCAGCAAAGGTTGTCCTGAGCCTCTTGGCTCTACAAACTCATGTTCTTAATATTAGAGATTATTTGTGAGGTTAGTAATTTTGCTTTGCAAAATTTGCTAGTGGTTTTGACTGTGTCTGTGCGTGGTTCCCCGGGGTTAATCTGCCTTGTTTATGTAAGTATCAGCACATCAAAATAGCCATCTACCCAAAAAATATGCAGTGCAGCATGAATAGTTTGTGCAGGGAATTTCATTAGTATTGATAGTATTGATTTTTTTGCTTGTTGTTAGATGCATTTCGTATCTTTTTAGTTTGATGGAAGTAGGCAAAACTTTGTAGAGCATTGTAGTCTTTTGAATGGGATCTAAAATTCCTCAGAATAAAAACAGTATTTTTACTTTACCATGCAAACTTAATTAAAATAAGTAATGAACTTATAGAAATAGCCATAAAATTAGTTTTCCAAATGTTTTCAAGTCATTTATCCTAAAAAAAAAAGGAAAAAAAAGAAACGAAGAAGAAGAAAAAAGAACATTTACATTTGTTTGTCCTCTATCCATACCTTTTGTGTAACCATTCCTAGAATATCAAACATTACCCCGTTACAGATTTTTTGCACTACCATGTTAAAATACTGGGTTGTACAGCAGGGGGGATTCCTTCCTATTTTATATCTGTTTCAGAACCAGATTGCCCATTTCCTTACAATCTTACCATTATTTGATTACTAATGCATCTTCTAAATGACTACGGATTGTAAAATCCACTGCAAACGCCTTGTGTTTGTACAAGCTGATTGCTTGCACAATCCGTAGCACCATTCCCTGGAATAGCAGAACTGACCTCTCAGATATTATGTTTTTATCAGCACGATTATGCTCAGTTCTTTATTTGCTTTGTGGATTGATACTAGATAGTCACATCTGTGGCACAGTCCAGATCGGACTTTAAAATACTCTGGATGTTTATATTTTATTTAGAAGTGCTCTTTAGGTTGCTGTAAGGTTTGATTATTTAGCCATGAAGGAAAACTATCATTTTTGCCTCTGAATAGTGTCATCTTACAATTCCCCTTTTTTCTTTCACTTGTGCAGTGGTGTTGGTAGAAACGCATGATTAATAGGTGATCGAGAATAAAAGATGTTTTCTGTTCAAAGAATAATCTTGCAACCAGAGCTTCCTGGAGTTGAATTTCAGGAAGCGATCCTCTTGCAAGAGGATAGGCTTTGGTGTGACTAGCAGAAATTTGCCCGGAGTCATGGTGTGGTTTATTCATAGCAAGGATCAGGGAGAGAATTGCAACAAAATAATTGTGCTTGGAAAAAAAAAAAAGTGCTAGTAACCAAACCAGAACATCTGATTTATGACTGTGAATTCTGAGCTATTCTTAGTTTTGGGATAGTTAAGAATACTGTCAGTATTTTTTGGCTTGAGTTCTTCCTACAGAAATGATAATTGCATAGTGAGGAGGAAGGCATTATTTATACTTGTTTCTGGACAACTGACTCCAAATTTGGTTGCAGGGTAAGAAAATTCAGTTACCGCAGTTTCCAGGCTGCGGTCAGAGTAGGCGGATTGGGAAGGGATTAAACTACTCTGCTTGGCCTGTAAGAAATGTGAGGAAGATCCTGCATCACCCAGGCCTGATGCAATGTGGTAGCCAACATCTGCACCCCACAGTGTGGGCTGCCAGGATGTTTCAAGTAGTTGTGTTGATGACACAGTTCCATGTTTTCTTTGCTTTTGCTTCTTAAGGCTCAGAAATGTTTGTATTTGATGTATCTGAATAAATCTGTGGCCATAAGGCAGGGTGAGATACCTTTGCTGCGCTTCTGGCAAGGTCAGCCAAGATTTTGCAGAGATCCAGAGAAGGAGAGATTTTCCTCCTGGGGAATAAGGGTCTTTCTCACGAGCATCATTAAGGAGACTTGGAATAGACCCCTAGAATAGAATCTACCCCTAGGGGTGTGATTTCCTCAGTGTGGCAGACAGTTGGGTGGCATTTGTAAAGTTTCAAGCAAAACTTGGGACTGAGTTTGAAGGGAAACTCTTGATACCTTTGGTATGGCAGCTTTCTAATGGTCTAAACACTAGCAGAAATCATTTATCAGAGAAATGGTGCATTTTCTTTGTCCGTTCAGCAGTGCTAACCTCTCAAATATTAGGCCTATAGGTTGAAGCCTACATACAACATATGATAGCAGAAACTGTTGGAATTTCTAGGCTTTCAGTGTTGCCCTTTCTCCTACTATTTTAATGAATGATATTTTCCCTCCTGGTTTCCTTGTCTCAGTAATGAAATTGCAGACAAACTAGGTATGCACAAATATATTTGAGACTTGCATGAGCTTACTTAGAGTAATTAATAAGATGTTTTAATTTGTGAATTTTTTAGTAATTCCCTCTAAAAACTTTTTTTTAGAGGAAAGGGAATTGTTAAGATGCTGCAAACTTGATACCACATCTTTCATACATTTCTATTAAATTTATTCCCAAGTTAGAATGTTTACATGCCTTAAGGACTTGAAACCTAAAAGGATTCAGTAACCACAAAGTAAGAATTTATGGGTGCTGCCCTCAAAGAATTTCAGTTGAAGCAGTAATATGTGGACCTCAGTGGAAAATGTAATTATTCTTTGTTTACCAAATGTGAAATGTTATTGGATACTAGGTCATGAGGGTGTATATGTTTATATACACATTCACATTTAAAATTCTTGAGTTAATTGGATACATTGTCAAGTTGATGATGTCAAATTTTAAAAAACATAACATAAATGTATAAATGCCAGCATTCCTAGCTCTCTATTGCTTCTTCATGGTAAATGCAAAACCCCTGTTTTTCTCCTGTGACTTACATTGGTGGGGTTTGGGTGGGCTCGGGGTTGAGTCAGGCTGTCATAGGTCCTCGTGTAGCTGGCAGGAAGCCGTGGTAGTTAATGTAGTTTGTTTTGGTCTTTTACAGCATTTGTTACTCTGTTAAACGGAGAGCAGGCCCAAAACGCAATTGGGAAATTTCACCAGTATTCTCTTCGGGGAAAAGAAATCTCGGTGCAACTCCAACCAACAGATGCTTTGCTGTGCATTACCAACTTGCCCATTTCCTTTACCTTGCAAGAGTTTGAAGAACTTGTGCGTGCCTACGGCAATGTGGAGAGGTGCTTTTTGGTCTATAATGAAGTTACTGGCCATTCAAAGGGCTATGGCTTCGTGGAATACATGAAGAAGGACTCTGCTGCAAAGGCCAGGCTGGAACTGCTGGGGAAGCAATTGGAGGAGAACACGCTCTTTGCACAGTGGATGGATGTTAATCAGCTGACTCCAAATCTTATTCACTCTAAGTGCCTTTGTGTAGATAAATTTCAAAGAGACTATGCTGATTCAAAAGAACTGATGCAAACTTTCTCACTGAAGTATAAACCTGTGTTCTGCCAGGTACGTTGAGTTTATAGCTTTTGGAAGATCAAGGTTGTGATTTAAATAGTCTGTGCATACTTCACTGCTTGCTGTTTTGTCTTTTTGTTTTTCATTTAAGTAGTGAGTGGCGTGCATGCGGATTGCAATATAGGATGTGGTACAGATGTTTTATTGGTGTGGGTTTGGTGGTTGGTATTTATTGCCTGGGAATTCTGCAGGAGACCACTCCCATGAAATGCCAGTAACATGTTTATAACGCATCCGTTTTCGTGTATTTTATTGAACGCTATTTCAAAAATATGCTACAACTTCTGAAGTAAATGTTACTAAATGGTTTTACTGAGCCATGAAGAAATCCATGAGTGCTATAAGTGCAGCTGTAGATTGTGAAGAGTTGTGGAGAATATGTAGAATTAATACCTTTTAAAAAACTGTCACTGTCTAGAAAACTCTGACACTATCTGATGTGTTTTTTCCATGGCTTGGGATCTCATAGCTGCAGGCATGCTATAAACTGAAGTGCTGCATCTTCTGGGAAGCTTTCAGGTACAGAAGAGCTTAGATCATTGCTTGTTTTGCAAGCGTAAGAGTTTCCTTCTCATCGACGTGGCCAGTGAGATGCCTAAACGACACAGAAAACATTGCTGATAGAAGCACCGTAGGCAGCAGCAGGAAAGCTGTGTTTATAGGCATGCATTTGGGTATGATTTCACTTGTTTTTTGTTTCATTAAGTGTCTCGGAAGGCTGCTCAGGGATTAGCTTCAAGGATAAGAGCCAGGGATTTTGCGCATCTAAGAGCAGGAGGTCCCTGAGACTGTCTGGTCAGACCACCTGCAGGCCATTGCGCCTCCCCAGGGCCCCTTCTGGGGAATGTGCACTTGGCTGCAGCCTGTCCTTGCCCTGGCTTCATCCAGGCGCATCCAGAGGCGGATAAACCGCAAGGGACTCTTGGGAGCAGCCGCCCGTCCCTTGCGCTGCGCTCCTGGGTCCGTCTCCTCCGTTGGCTCCAGCTTTGCTCCACGGGTGCCTGTTGTGTCTGTCTGTGTCTGTTGTGCCCTGGCTGAGGAGCCTTTGCTGCCTTCTGGCTGCTTCCTGTAAGCAGGTATTACTGTAATCAAGTCCCTGCGCAATCTTTTTTTAATTAGCTGAACAGATTGATCTTTTAAAGCCTTTTAGTGTAGGCCATCTCCCCAGCTGTCAGGTAATCCTGTGCTGTTACCAGCTCCCCTGACAGTTTTTTCATTGTCCTTTTAAAAATATGGAGTTCAAAGACTAGCAGATTTCTTTGATAAAGCCTGCTTTTCATTACACTGTTCAACCCTGCATTAGAGAATTCTTAGCTGAACTCAGTAGGATCTTTTTCTTTCTTTTTCTCGTTTATTTTGTATTATTCTGAAGTATACTTTTAATACTTCTTTTTTTTTTTGAAATACTTTTATTTCTGCTCTGTTGAAAATGGAAACCTCCTTCACAGAAAGGAAACAGCAAGAGCTAAAGGCAGATATTTATGCCTGGTTCTTCGATGTCTGGCATAGCCTAGGAGGAGCTTGCAGGAACGTCTGTATCATCATGCACTTCTGCTCTTTAATGAAGTGGACAACTCCTCATTGCTTTCCCAGCCAGCCTTAAATTGTAACTAGGAGGTCTCCATTGGTATTTAGATAAGGGCAGAGTGGTTTTCTTCAGTACCTGTTTGTTTGGGAAGTTTAAAAATTACTGATCCATTTGCAAATATACTGATAGCTGCATTTTTACATATTAAGGGAGTTATATATAATTTTTATATATATGTGTATGAATATATGTATGTGTGTTCTCCACAGCATTTTCACGGATACTCTTAACAGTGGCACTGTTTGACCACCACCTTTTTCTTCAAAATCATTTAGATTTATATTTCGGCTGTTACTGTACTTTAAGCTTTGCAGAACATGGGGCCAAATAGTTGGGAGTCGGTTGTTTTTTTTCAGTGAAATCTGGAGGATGCTTTCTGTGTCCCTGTTCATCAACACAAGTAGCAGTATATAATTGCTGTTTTGTGACTGGGCATTTTTGCTTGAACTTTACTCTCTCCCTCCTCACCCCTTTTTTGTTTGGTTGAAATCTGCTCATTCTGCTTTTAAAACTCTTCAAACAAAGGAGGGAGCATTGTCTGACAAGTAAGCCCATTTCCAGTCTAACTGATTGATCAGTCTGGCATCTTCTGCTGGCATTAAATACAGCCACAGACTTGCATCTTCCCAGAAGGCAGTATATGTCACTGGAATTTACCCTGTTACATGTTTCAACAACTGTCATGTAGTATTCTGAACGATATTTTCTTTAGTGAAGGCTTAAATAGGCTGAACAGTGAAGAGTTTGTCATTCTTAACCCTGCAAAGGATAAGAAGCATGGGGCTGCATTTAAAAAGTCCTTCTCAACCTTTCTATGCTTTAAAATAACTGTTAGATACATTTCATAGCTCAGGTTCTCCATGAGATTAGAAGGAAATGACAGTGGTAATTCAAATAGATACAAGATGCCTGCCAAATATAATGTGAAGCAATGATATTCAGGTTATATTTACTACATTTGAGAAAGAGACATATTAATTTAGGTAGGTATTAACATGGGATGCTGACAGTTTGCAAAGTATTTTGCAGGGGCAGGTGAAAATACTGCAAGACAAGTCCCTGGAATTGTGCATTTTTTGTTCAGTGCGTTATGGCATGTTGTTTCAGTTTGCTCAGGATGAAGATAGTTGTGTTGGTGACTTTGCAGTGGTGGAGTACGAAACTGCAGAGCAGGCTGAGAAGGTGCAAGAAGTCACCCATGGCATGACCATCAGGGGGAAGAGGGTGCAGGTGTCCTACTGCGCCCCGGGAGCGCCGGGCAGGAGCACGCTGGCAGCGCTCATCGCGGCGCAGAGGATGGTAAGAGGGCCCTCGTGGCAAATTCCGAGTTCTTGCATGCGTGTGCTGTGTGTTCAGGGGTACCTTTGAGCAGGGAAAATCCGCGTGAAGCTTCTCTTGTGGTGGTGGTGGTTGGCTGGCCAAGTGAGAGCAGGAAAAACCTGATGAAACACGAATGCTCCAAGTACGATGTGCTGAAGAGCAGCTCCATGAAATAACACTGAAGTTTTGTGTTTGTATTCATGTAAAGACTGAGAGTGAAAGCTGTTAGTACGATAAAATCAGTTTCTTGAATCTGCCTTCAAATGAGTTGTTTGTGCCCTGAGCGACTGGAATTGAATCGAGAAGCTTTAGCTGGATTTGCATTGGGAAAAACGTTGAGTTTTTGGAAGCATCAGCCAATTTGCGTACCTAGGTAGCCTATTTTGTCTCCTCCCTGGGCAAAACAGAGCCATGTGCTGCAAGGAGGAAGGGCAGATTATGGCCATAAGACAGCACAAAGTTACACTTCTGTAGCTTTGTGATTTTTACTAAATACAATTTTCTGTGAGAGGAGTTGTTTCAGTTCAAAACAGGAGTAAATGGAAGGGGAGTCTCTTGAAGAGATATAACTTGGTTTAAAACAAAGTGACAAGTTTTCAGTTTTAAAATAAATTTCAAGGTAATAGAAACAGTTTAATTTCATGCCCAATATAGAAGAAAGCTTTCTGCACCCGCATGTCATATCAGATGATTTCCTAGAAAATTGGATGTGATAAGTGTTACATGAAGCTGTCTTGAAAATAAAGCAGAACAATCTTGCTATACATCTTTATAGGAGGGGAGATGAGTGGAGCTATTATAAGAGAGCATGTGTTGTTCATGTTAACCATGCCTTTTGTTTCCTCCTTTATTGATAATGCCTTCTTGTGTAAGGAGAAAAAAAGAAATGGGCCCTAGGGAAAAATAGTAGGTTTGAAGCTTTTAGGGAGTAATTAGGAGGTTTGTTTGTGGGGGAAGGTGCATAGAAAGGAGCATGAAACAGGGAGGGAGAAACTGGCATTATTTTCGTGTGTAAAATGAAATATATATCTCAATGACACACAAGTTTGAGCTCTTTTTGGTCTGAGAAATACTAATTCGTAATGTGAAAATTGCTGTGTTGACTTGTGCTTAGACTTTTAACTACTGCAAAGTCTGGGAGAGAGCGGGAACATTCAGGTGCTTCTAAGTCTACTAGGAAGCAATAGGAAAAGTGTGAGAGCAGAAACTTAAGACACTTGTCAGGAAAAGAGAGGAGGACAACACTGATTTTACCGTAGTAAAGAGAGTGCTGGGGTGTGTTCTGTTAGTTGTACAGAACTAAAGTTATTTAGATTTGGGATGTGGATATTTTAGCTCAGGTTCTCTGTCTTATCAAGAAAGTAGTAGTTACGTGGGGATTTAAGTGTGTTCTTTGTTTCCTCCTGACCCTAACGTTTTGATATCTCTCTTCGTTTGAGATGAGGAACAATAGGAAAGGATTGCTTCCAGAACCAAATCCAGTGCAGATTATGAAAAGCTTTAGTAACCCAGCAATGTTGCAAATGTTAATGCAGCCCCAGTTGCGTGGACATACTGTTAAACCTGGTAAGTTGTTTAAAGCTGAGCTTAAAAAGAAACCCTGTGCTTAGTGAAGATGCTTTCAACAAAGGAAAGACACAGGAATAGTGTGTAAACAGTTTCTCAGTGTGCCTGTGTAGGCACTTTTTCATTCTTTATGACAGCGACAACAAAGAGGATTGACAGGGTAAAGTTTAGTATTAGCCAGAAATACCTTTGCACCAACTCTGGAGTCTTATATTAGAAGCAGATCTAAAATGAAGTCTCTTCTCCAGACATAGTCAAAATTGCAAGTTTAAATCTGATTCCAGATCTGAACTTTACAGCATGGAGTCCTGCATCTTAAGTTCATACTATTTTTAAATGATTATTCAGCCTTGTGTGCTACTATAGTTGTACTCAGCATTTCATAAGAAAAGCAGTAGCCCAAAACATTTCTCGGAAGGAATTTGCTTTCTCAATGCAGTGAATGTGAAAAAAATATATTAAGAGCAATCTTACCACATTTCAGACAGTGAAAGTACTGGGAACAAGAATAAGATAAGGAACAAGCAGATAAGTTGGGAAGTGGGAGCAGTTAAGAGTGTGTGGCACACGTACTGTACTGTTTCTCACTTTTCAATCTTAACAATAGCCCAGAATACAATTTTCATGGGCATTTGTCACTGGCTTCTGTCTTCCTTTGAAAACTTGTCATTTTATTGGTAGCTTTGAATATTCAGTCTCCTAATTTTCCCAAAATTCTCTCTATATTTTTTTCTTTCTCTTACTGTGATCATTCTCTCAGTGCTGTAAAACAAGTAATTGTACTGCTGTGAAGTCCTTGCTTTTATCTTAGCATTTTGATCCATTAATAACTCTGTTGTTTTGTTAGGCTGTTACTTTTTACAGTTTGAAGTTTAATTGATGAACTCTGCTAATTTTCTACATCTTCAGAGTCGGATAAAGAAAAATTTTGTGTGAAGTGACTATATCTTTCAAAGCACTTTAGCTAGTGCTCTGGTCTTGCAGTTGGCTGCAGGCATTTCTGCATCTTTGGGTAAAGTTGTCACCTTCAGAGGGGTTCCGTGAATGCACGTTTGGTCTCTAAGACACAGTTAACCCCAGATCAAAGCTGGGTGCATTGGAAGGTTTCATTATAGTCACTGTTACTATGTTGGAGATTGTTCTGGAAACCGAATCTGAAAAATATAGAATAATTCTGTAAAGACCATTTCCCTCCACCTTATAAAAATCCTCTTATTTTTTCTTGTGTTTCTAAAACAGTTCTTGGAGCATCTGCGGGTTTACCTCACCTTATAAACACAGCAGTTGGCCCAGCTTTTTTGCAGTTGAATAAAGTTCATCAGGTATGTCTCTTAACACAAAATATCTTTTATCAAAGCAGATATTCACGGAGATCTCAGCATGAAAAAATATTTAATTTTTTTTCAAGAAACTTCGGCTAAAAGGTATTCTTATTAAAGCTGTCTCTTTGAAAAACAAAACAAAACAAAAAAGGCACTCATGACTGAGGGGATATAAGCTGTCTCTTTGAAAAACAAAACAAAAAAAAGGCACTCATGACTGAGACGATATGAGGATATAATGGGATATAAGTGAGAGCTCCCTGTTCTTACTTTCCACAAGTAACTTTATCTTACTGAGGTTTTGATTTTCTAGCATTGTCTTATAAAGCAACAAGTTGCCATTTCTGGGAAGAAAATCACCTCTTCTAGAAGTAGAAGAGCTTGGGGTATCCATTTCTCTTGGAGCTGCTCATACCTGTTGCCCGTAGAGATCATAAAATTCTTGCCTTGAATAAGATAAATCAATAACATTATCTTAATTCTAAAGCTTGCAGGAGTCAAAATGTGCTACATTTGCCATAAAAGCAGTAATTTGCAGATATTATTACTTAGTCAAAAATAAGTCAAAGCAACAAAGTGTTTAGAGTGTTCTTGGACTACTTCATTGTAAACTTGGTATGACTTCCATGTAGACTCCAGAATTTCTGAAAATTCCTGTAAAACCTATTGAGGATGAGTTTACCCTGGAAGTGAGTGGTGAGGATAAAGGCTGGAATAATCAATCCCCTCAGGCAGGACTGTTCCCTGCAGCCGTCCGCGTGGCCAGCGCCTGCCCAGCTTCCTCCTTAACTGGGCTTCCCTCGACGGCTTCTGCAGTGCCACAGCTCTGCTAAAAGCCACAAATTGCTTTTAGTGTTCATGAGTATTCGTGCTGCTTTTATTTATGTTGTTTTTCATAAATCACTATGAGAGACTTGAGTCGATTCCATTGGCTTATTCTCTCTGATGCTTCAGAAATTGCCATACAGCAGATAAAATCCTCTTAAGTATTGGTTATTATTTCTGCTATTCTTTTGGCAGAGGTGGAATTATAGATCTTAAAAGAAGAAACCTAAAATGCAGTAAATATATGTAGCTTTTCTGGTCTTCTCCTGGAAAGTGACAGAGGAATATATGCATTTCAAACATTAAATGTATGTATATATATATATATATATTTTAAATTCTGTACCTTCCCTTGAGTTGCTTTTTGCCTTGTGTACTGAAAATATTGCATTGGTATTTGCTTGTCCTTTTATTTTAAACAGCATCTGCAGTTGGTATATTTAGTTATTGCTG